TTTTCCTGTCTGCTGCAGCACAGTTTCTACTTTGAGGCTGTACTTGGCCTTCTCTGGTGGCTCATTTGAAGTTCCTGCCCAGAATCATAGCACACACCTCAGTGTGGAGAACTCCTCTGCGTAATAATTAGTTACATGTTCTTTGTGCATGCCATCAACTACAGGGAGTGGGGAAGATTACCCTGATGGTGTCCTGTTCATTAATAGAGGGGGAGATGTGTTCTTACCTGCATGAAAAAGAGAAGAATAAATGGAAATTGGCTGGGAGCAACTTGTGTAATGAAAGGAAAGTGAGGTGTAGAGTGGGGTTTCACTTTTTGATGAGGCAAGACAGAAAGCAGTTCTGGGAGATGAAGTAAAAAGAAAGTACCATTTGAAAACAATCAAAGAGGAATTCATTAAAAGATAACAGGAAAAGCATTTTTAAAAATACATCACAGTAAAACAATATGCTTGCTGTAGGTTGACCCCAGCCAGCAGCTAGGCATCCACACACAGCCACTTGCTCGCTCCCCCCTTTACCACCACCACTGCCAGTGGGACAGCAAAGAGAACAAGAAGATCAAAAGCAAGAAAAATCTGGGAGCAATATAGGGCAGTTTAACAGGTGAAGGAGAGGGAGAGGAAAAAAGGCAATCGGTGCACAACCTTCCACAAGCAGACTGATGCCCAGCCAGTCTCCGAGCAACACCCACCTTGAAAGCCAAAAAACTCCGTTCTTTCGCTACCCCAGTTTTTATTGCTGAGCATGATGTTATATGGCATGCAGTATCCCTCTGGCCAGCTTGGGTCAGCTGTCCCAGCTGTATCCCCTGCCAACTTCTTGCCCACCCCCAGTCTACTCACTGAGTAGTAGCAACAGCCAAAACCACGGGTGTGTTATGAACACTGTTTTAGCCACATATTTAAAACACAGAACCTTACCGGTGGTTGTGAAAAAAATCAATCCATCCCAGCCAGACCCAGTGGAAAGATCAATTTCAAATGATAAGTTATGGAAATAGATTATGTCTCTAAATTAAGTTCAGCTATGATAACTAAATAGCTGCTTGTCCTGGATCGTGAGGTAACAGATGCCCTAGAAATGGTTAAATGCCCAGCCAACTTTCTGGTTGGTCTATCCATTGATGTTACTGTGATTTGTACACTAAATCAGGTTTTTTCTGATCCTATTTAGCAGTGTACTCTGCTGGGTTTTTCGTTTAGTTTGACTTTTAGCTTCTAGTCTTTGACAGTAGGTAGCAAGGTGACCTTTCAACGCTACATGTTTCTGTATATGGCTTAGCTGGAAATCTGCTTTGCTATACAGCTTTGTTGCCCTGTGAAATATTTGCCACCAATATCCATGCACATACAGAAGTTGAAAATGTGTTCTTAAATTAATTGTTGCTAATGTAATTTCTTTGCAGATTCAAAAAATAGAGGGAGTTATATCCTACAGAGATCCTCATTTTTGGTGTCACTCTGCAAGTGTTGTGGCAGGTACAATACATGTGCAAGTGGTATCAGATGTGATGGAACAGAGGATAGTACAGCAGGTAAGGTGCAAGGTTTTTAGGCCCTAATGTCTTAATTTCTTATTCTGTAGCCCCTTTTCAGTCGTAGACTGAAGTCTGAAGCTGTTGTCTGTGGTTATTTTTATAGCTATTCGTTGTCTCAGAGCTGGTCTCTAACCCTGCACTTCCCTTTGCCTGCTAGCTTGGAATTAGCTGCATATGGTTGTTTACTAAAACATCAGCCAAAACAAAATGAAAAAAAAAAGTTAGGGAGGTATTTTCTCACTGTTGAAAGTGGCACTACATCTGCTCTGAGAAAAGGAGGAGGAGGTTTATTTCATGCTGCAAAACAGGCAGTAATCTGTAGGAATATCTGGATGCTACTTGCAGGTTTATATATAACTGGCTTACCGATACCTGTCTGCCATGGGTTTTTCTTAAGGGAAAATTATTTCCTTATGCAAGATGCTGAGAATGACCATTATGCAGATTTCACAAAGCCATACCCTCTGCAGCTAGTCTTTGCTTTCAAAAAATTTGAATTGTTTATGATGATTTTTTTTTTTTAATCTACAGTATTTCAGAGTCAGAATATTGCAAGCTGCTGCGCGATGCATATAAAGCGTAATACTAATGTCAACCATACTGTTGTATTCAGGTTACAGCGATCCTGAAAGATGCTGGTGTAAACAACCTAACTGTCCAAGTAGAGAAGGAGGCTTATTTTCAACACATGTCCGGACTCAGTACAGGATTTCAGGATGTCCTTGCAATGACTCAGCAGCTGGAATCCATGAAATACTACAAAGATGGTACTTACATCATGTGATACAAAGTTGTGTTCGCCAAAGGACGTGTAAAGTGTAAAGCTGTAGGATTCCATATTCGTATTACTTTTTGTCAGGAGATCTTGCACATACATGTACAGAAACAAATGTACTATATATTTGAATTTTTTTAAGCATACTATCTTTATTAAAATTGGATCAAGATGCTTTTATAAAGGAAATAAGATGGACTTGAATATTTGCTGTATATGTGAAAATAATGGAAATCTCAAATACTGTACTTGGGTGTTCATTAAACAGAAATCTTGCAACTTGTGGATAAGCACAGATGTATTGCGTACTTTCCATTAAGTATGGAAGGTCATGATTACAATTTCGTGTCACTAGTGGGAAATGGAAATAGTTTGCTTTGGAATGCAAGCATAATCAACTGAAAAATACTTTTATTTCAAACATAGCTTGAAGACTCTGAATGAAAAAGAAATGATATGTTTATTATGGGGAGCAAAAAACAAGAAGTCATGGGTTTTGCACATTTTGTTAGATAATAGAAGTACACCGTTTATATATTATGTCTCGGCATACAAATCTGATTTCTAAACTTAATGCATCAGAGGAAATAAATGTTACCATTTTAAATTTATATCAAATTATTTTTTTAGGGAGAGAAATCCACAGGTTAACAGTGAGAAATTGGGAGGGAAAAAAATGCAGATACTTTCCTGTTCCCTGGGAAGACTCAGAATCAAAAAAAAAACCCATTCCGTAAAATATTTTTTTGTACTTTTTACATTAATAACTGCAAATGCAATAGTTTGAAGCTTAAAGTAATTCACCAGTGAGCATCCTAGCACTCTGCTAAACTTCACCTCTTCACACTATGTTATTCTGTCACTTACTTGATTTTTTCATCATACCATAACACAGCTGCAGGTGTACTGTAGCCAGCTGTACCTTTGTGTGTTACCCAAGGAAGCAGTCCAGGTTTAGAATGCTGAACTGTGACAGTAATTGGGAACCTGGCAAGCTGCTGAAACAAACTGTAAATTAAGAGTTCTTGACTGGAAAGAGAAGAGAGTGTTATAGAAATGATTATGCGTCTTGGGGACTTAATACTGCAAAGAAAACAAATCTCTGTCTTTAGCAAAAAACTGTCAATAGAGTAATAACATACGTCTTCAGAGACAAGTATCCTGACATCTGTTTACAGTCCTCCTGTGCTCCTTTGTGTTCTTGTATGAAGCCCTTAAATATTGTGCTTGGAATTGAGCAAATCAATTCAGTGGTTAGCAAGAATGAGTATGTCTTTCGTCATGCCATGTATAACAGCAATCTTGTTTTGTCATACTGTTTTCTTCTTCTGGTATTTAGGACCAGTACTCGAATATCATTATAAATTATCATCAGGCTTCATGTTAGAGGAATTTGAGGATAGACTGATGCAGGAATTACATGATCAAACTGGATTCACCAGCAATGCCATTTGAAATGTCCATGAGCAATTCTGCTTCTCTTGTGATCAAACTGTTTATACAAACTGCATAGTTTCTTTTGTAACTGTAAAGTTTGCATTCCAGTCCCCTCCTCCAGTGCAGTGTTAAAACGCTATCTGTAGTACAGGACTGACTTGAAAAACTGTTGTCAGAAAGTCTCTAGAACTTGTGTTGCTTTTACATATAGTGATGAAGATTGACTGCACAAATCCCAGTCCCTAATTTTTTGGGCCCACACTGCAGAACCAGTAGAGTTCTCAATGTTTGATCCTGTTTTCTTCTGATTTATGCCTTTGGCAGTGGTTTTCTCACCTTGCCTCCTCTGGAAAGCTCAGGTCAGTTGAGTAACAGTGCTACAATTGACACCAAGCCTATAAGCAGGGTGATCTTTCGGTTCTGAAAACTGTTTTCAGGCAAAAAGCTTCATTTAATATTTACATGTACCACTCGTATTTGAGGTGACTGTACTGGAGCTGATGGCATTTCACCAAACGTAGCGTTAGCCCCATTGGGATAGGTAGATGAAAATGGGGGTGATTCCTTCTTTTCAAATCAAGTTAGCTTAACATAATCAAAAAGCCTTCATGCTTGCCACAACTTTCTCTAAGCAAATGCTGATTTTGTACTTCAGCTGCTAGCAAGAGGACCCGAAACACATTAAGGTGGCTGGGACCACGTTAGATGGCTGTGGCAGTGAAGATCAGCTCGCACCTGGATACTGCACAGGAAAGTGCAAACCTGCATCGTAACGCACATTTGGCAGCTTTTTGTGTGTTACCCGTCACACGTGCACAGTGTTTTTCCTTGCTACCTGGACAGAAAGACAAGGGCAATTAACATCGTCTGTCTGAAATGCATTTGCCAAGAGCCTGTATCTGGCAGTAATCCTCCAAGGAAGGGTTTGGGCTTCCTCCCTTGCAGCATCTATTAGAGCTGTGCAGTAAGGGCAGTTTTTCAAATCACAGGTAAAGGCCAATCGATTTATAATTTGATACAAACACTGTGGTGGGGGAGTTCTCAGTCTAGTCACTTGATTTGTATGCGGACACTTGCAACAAAGCACTTTCAAAGATGAAACAAAGCTGTAAAACAAATTGCAGCTATGTACTGTACGTTTGGCAGCAAGCAATGTACATGTACATAATGGGGAAAAAAATAAACGCGTTTTTCAATAATGTTTTATGTAGTGCATAATGTCTTTTCTGGTTAAAAAATGAGTAGGGATGGGAACAGGGAGGTACGTTCACAAAAAGCCCAGGTTTCAGCCCCAGCTGGTTGCGCAGGGGCCGACTGGAGGAAGGCAGCTTGAGAACACGCTCCAAACCCGAATTTCGAGGGCATTTCGCGGGCGTCCCTCCTGTCCGAAGGCCTCACCCCGGGTGCCGCCGCAGGGCTCTCC